CTCGCTAGCATTTCACTTTGAACATGACTCTCTGAAAGACAAGACGTGACTCTAGATCGCCACAAACTCGTGTCCAGGTGTATAAATAGTTCTCATCGTCGATCAACCGATCAATCATGAGCGAGTCAAAGTGGATCTAATCGCCTCCTTCTCGCTCCTCCACTCCATCAGACATTTTGCCTTCAGTTTTTGTGACAAAACCTTCCTTCCGGTTCCGTGAGTCCACAATTCCGTACACTCACGGTATTCGTATTGTTTTTTTGAGTTGAAAAAAAAGCATCTTCGGGTTTTTCTCCTCGTATTCACTTGGATTTAACCGCTTACTGTTATCCTCATTCAGATACCGTTGAGATTCTTCGGGTTATGATGCACTTTGTTGTACTCCGATTATTGTTAATTAAGTCTCAGTGGGCAGAAGGTGGATTAAATATATGGTTAATCGTCCGTGAGGTACGTAATTAAGTATAAAATTATTATTTTTTATGGAATTTAAAGTTGAGATGCGTGAGGAAATTGATGGATTCTTAATTTTTTTAAGGCTGTGGCTATTTGCACCGTGCGTGTCACACGCAGGGAATTTCGGGGTTTGGCGGGTCACACGCAGGGAATTCCGTGGTTTGGCGTGTCACACGCAGAAGGGGAAAAGTCGACTGTCGCCAAAATTGAATTTATTCGCCAAGTAAAAGTCGATTCCGACTATTTAAGCGGCGGGCTATTCAGAACTATCAAAAGTATGTGGAAAAAGTGAAAACTGAAACACAAATTTTGTGATTTTGCAATTTTCACATAAAAAAAAAAATTTTTAACATGAAATATCTATAAACACCAAACAACTCCTACTGGAGAATGTTCCTAAGGACTTTCTCAATCCCCTAAAAAATCACCAACCCCCTGGGACACGTACTTGAGGGTAGTAGGAGGGTAAAAACGTCATTTTTTGGGATTTTCTAACCAAAAAAAATTTTTTAGACATGAAATATCTATAAACACCAAACAACTCCTACTGGAGAATGTTCCTAAGGACTTTCTCAATCCCCTAAAAAATCACCAACCCCCTGGGACACGTACTTGAGGGTAGTAGGAGGGTAAAAACGTCATTTTTTGGGATTTTCTAACCAAAAAAAATTTTTTAGACATGAAATATCTATAAACACCAAACAACTCCTACTAGAGAATGTTCCTAAGGACTTTCTCAATCCCCTAAAAAATTACCAACCCCCTGGGACACGTACTTGAGGGTAGTAGAAGGGTAAAAACGTCATTTTTTGCGATCAAAAAATTTTTTCAACATCAAAAAACATTACAAAAAAATCAATTTTCCGATAATTCCCTGGCATTTTCCCCCAAGATATTCAATAAATCAACAGATCCATAAATAAACCAAATGAATAATTAAAATTCCATCATCATCACCATCTGAACCCAATCCCAACGATAGTAAAAGTCTCAATACTCTGAAATCCCCTCCAATTTCTCCCGAATCATTCTCCCACACATCGAAAAACCTCAGCGATGAGTTTCAATGCAGATAGAGATCACCAGTGATCCCACGGAAATGAGCACAAGGTGAAATGCAAAGTCACCAACGATATTTTCAATGAGTTTCATCAGCAGTGAGTGAGTGATTGCTTGAAATCATTGAACAAAACCACAAAGGAATTAATGAAAAGTCGTGGAGAACAAAAATATAATGAGAGATATGTTTAATATTAACATTGTGGAGGTCACGTGAGACTTGGAACTCTCTTGGAAGACGTGAGGATACCGTGCACGCACGGAAGTGACTCGATCGGGGCACGAAATGCAGATAGAATTCAGTGAAAAATGTGAATGAGGGAAAAATTAATGATTCTCAAGTTTCTGGCGGGGGGAGATTTTATCATCAAGTATCGATATTAGGACGCATTAAACTGCTGAATTATTATCGAGATTGAGAGTGGCTTTCTGGTGGGATGTGGGAGGTAACTTCATTCCTAACCCACACGATTTCGACAATTCTTGAGATATTCTGAATGTATTTCAAGAAATATAATTATTTCTCATGATTTTTTTAATGGATTTGTTGAAGACTTTTTTTATCGAATGAATTTTTTGGGCATTTCAGGTATTTATGATATGAAAGAAATTATCAAGATGAAAAAATTGAACTTGAGAAGTGATTAAGTAGTATAAATTTATACAATTCATTTAACTAATCGTTTGGGGATAGAGAGTTATGAAATATTAATTGGGATTTTGACCGTTCTTGAGTTATTTCCAACATATTTCATCAAATAAGATTTTTTAAATTTATTTTTATGGATTTTCTGAGTTAAAAACATTTTTTATTGCATAAAACAATCAATTGTTATCGGATTTTAGTCTTTATAAGTCAGAAGAAATGATGAAAATAATAGAATTGACTCTGTAAATCCAATTAATAATTTATTTATCAATTTCTGTTATTAATATCCATAAAAAAATCACTATTCAATTAAATAAATCATGAACATTAAAAAATTCTGAATATATTCCATCAGAAACAATTCTTTAATGCATAAAAAAATGATGACTCAATGGATTTTAGTTCCTGTAACTTGGAATAAATTGTTAATAAGTAAAAAAAAATATTTAATCCATGAAATTAATTAATTCTTCGGGAATGGGAAAAATTATGGAAAATCGATAAGTTGTGACGATGATGATGAATTAATTATGGATATTCCAAGGAAAATAATTCCACGCACGAGTAACAATACCAAGCACGAGACGTTTGAATCCACGAGAACGAGGCATTTATCGACCGGAAAACGGCTCGCCTCGAGACTCACCGAGGATAGCCCAGATTAAAGGACAAACCCACACACATCTTGTTTTGGTTTGTGTGAAACTCAAGAGGAACAGACGAGAGAGGCCATTTCGTAATCATCTGTTTAATAAATTCGATGGAAATCCCTTGAGGCCAGTGGATTACAACCGATTACTATCGATCGATGAGGAGTTTATGGGTTATTACTTGCAGGATAAATGAAAGAGTCGATTGAATTTTCTAGGTACCTTTCCTCTGACCATCATGAGAATTGAATGCCATTCACGATGGATAGTTGGTCTACTTATAATCCGTGGGGAAAGGAAATTGAGTGAAAATAACAAGAATTTACGGAGGAGTTCAGAAATATCTAGGGAATCAACGGGTTTAGGGGAAAATGTGAAAAGACATTTTTTGTGAAAAATTCAATTCTCTGGGAAAATTGTCTTTTCACATTTTTTGATAAACATCTTCGTTCCCGAGATATTTACAAAAATTTTAACATAGGTTGAAGTAAATTTCAATCAGACTGAGAAATGTCATCTTCATTATTTTGCAGATATCTCCGAATCCATTAGGTTTAGAGGAAAAAGTCACAAGAAATTTTTTGTAGGAAATTGAATTCTCTGCAAAAAAGTCATTTCAAGTTTTTCTTTAAATCCAACAGTTATCGAGATATTCGCAAAGTAAATTCGTCCAAAAATTTGAATTCTGGAATTTCATTAAATTTGGTAGTTGTTGCTTTGATCAAGAATTATTTACTGGGGTTGTGTCAGTTCAGTTTGTAATGACTCTATTTTAAGAAAAATATTTAACGCACGAGACTGGTTGGTCTGGTAATCCAATAAGGCATCGAATCCCCCCGAAATGTTCTCATATTATTTCTGTTTTGATCTCCCTACCCTTGTCCAGCGCCCGTGACCGCATCATATATCGTGTGAGTGAGATCAGTGCCTTGACATTCCCATTCTTGGTCACACGTGAGCCGCAGCGCTGTCATGCTGCTACGGTTTAACAAAGATTATTGTTCATCGGAGATTCTTCATTCTCATTTCCTCAAAATGGGTTGAATGGATATAAATGCAGTCGTGTGATGCATTCAACATTTCTTAACAATTTCCATTGAATAAAATCCTCAAACAAATCCATACAAAACAATTTCTACATCATTAAGTTCATCAAAGATGCGTTGAGAGACTAATTACCCGCGTGGGGCGATGACGAGGATAAATATCGACATTAAGTTGATAAAAAAGGAATTTCCAACCGAATGAAATCATTCGAACATTTGTATTTTGTTGGAGGTAAATAGATAAAGTGATGTCAGAAATATTCTCAACGTTTTATCTTGAGACTGAATACGAATAAAAGTAGTGAAAGAATGACATTTATTTGAATTTTGAATTAATTCTTCGATAATTAAAAGAATTGATGCAAAATAATTTTTAAATCGTTATATTAACTAAATAAGCAGTTCCAACTAAATGAAATCATAAAAAATAAGTTCATCCAATCATTCAAACATTTGTATTTTGTTGGAGGAAAATATATAAGGTGATGTCAGAAACATTCCGATCTTCAGATCGAATGCAAATAAAAATAGCAGCCGAATGACATTCATTTGAATTTTCACTGCATTTGAATTCATTTTGAATTAATTAAATTCTTCGATAAACAAAAGAATTGATGCATAATAATTTTTAAATCGTTATATTCACCAACCGAGTATTTTCAACAAACTAAAATTATCCAAAATAAATTCATTAAACACAAATTATGGACTTGCTTACCCACGTGGGTAATTATCAAGATAAAGATGATCATTAACTTAATCAGAAATGAATTTCCAACCGAATTAAATCATTCAAACATTTGTATTTTATTAGAGAAAAATATCTAAAGTGTATCTTCAGATTGAATACAAATAAAAATAGTAAAAAAAATGACATTCATTTGAATTTCCAATGAATTGAGTTTTTTAACAACTAAAAAAATTTACGCAAAAAAAAAATTAATTCAATGAATTTAATTCTCCGACAAATGAAAATGAAAAAAAAATGCAAACTGTAATTTTCGAATTATTATCCTCATCAAAGCTGAATTTCCATACAAAAAAAAATAATTCGTAAATAGAGAAAAAGATCGGAAGGTCTGACCTCAAGATAAATAAAAAATAAAAAATCCTAGGATAAGGATTGAAGGAAGAACTCACATAAATGGTGGATACGGAAGCATTTCTGAATATATCAACAACATCGTCAATGTCCCCGGGGCAGGACGGCTTTGGAGCCGTCCTCGGTGCGAGCATGACCTCGCTCGCCATTTCCAGCTGCGCCTCCACAAGAAAAAACCCCAATATTTAATCCAATTGTCGAGGTAACAGCAGTGTCACTGCATTATTGCACATAAACTCTTCACTATCATCTCAATGGTAGAGTATTCCTGGGTAATTGACACTGGAGACCACGAACTTCACTGATAAACAGGCACTTGTGAGTCCAGGAGTCACAACTTGAAAATTGCAAAAAAAATTCTTTTAAATATTGCGGGATTGTTTGAGACAGTTATCGAGGCCTTTGAGGTGTCTCGATGGCTAATGAACACGGGGGGGTACGAAGCGGAAGGCGAGGAAGAGCGGAACCGACTGGTAATACAGTGGCTGCATTGGCGTTTGGATAAACTCTCGACGATTGTGAACGAACGAGAGGATAAGGAGGTGTAAAAGGAGAGGGGCATGCCGTGAGGTGAGTGTGTTGCCGTTGAAGATTGATTCACGGGGGGAATGAGAGAAGTGGATTGAGAATTCGTGTGGGATTTATTACGGAATTGTTTGCATTTGAAAAAAAATAAAATAAAATTACAATTTTTTTTTTCACTTGAGAATTTTTCCTGAACCGTGAGTTCTAGAAAAAAATGTCACAATACACTTTTTGCTGGAAATTAAATTCTCTGCAAAAAAGGTCTTTTGACATTTTGCGCTAAACCGAATTGTTTAGGAGATTTTTTTACAAAATGAAGAAACGTTTTTTGTTGAGAAAATAGTTTTGTTCTTTTCGTTGTTTTATTGTTTTGCGGATAGCTTCTAGACTGTGGGATTTATCGAAAAGTGTCACATAACATTTTTTGTAGAGAATTTGATTTCCAACAAAAAATGTTCATGGTGTTTTTTGGTAAATTGAATAGTTTCGGAGATATTTTCAAAATTGTGATACTGTGGTATTTTATTTTTTCGTTTATCCTGACATTTTTTTATTTTCTTCGGGTTTTCCGATTGTTTTTACGCTACAGAGGTCTTGGAGAGAGCCAATATGTCGGGGAAATTGGAGAGGATTGTTTTCGTCGGTGTATCAAAGCCAATGAGGCTATGGGAGTGCAGAAATACCAGTGGATGCAGCGAGAAATCGAAAAAGGCCCGTGCACAACGCTCTTTAACCCATACCCGCGATACACGCCTCCACGCGAGTGGCAATAAACCTGAATAAAGTGTAAAACTTTCGCTTCAACACCCACATCTAGACCCTGGCACTTTTTTTCTCAACATTCAGCGGGGAATTTTGAAATCAGAGCCGAATCGTGTTGGTTTAATGGACTGATTTCGGGGAATTTTCAGTTGAATTGATTGCTTAAAGAATCAGTTGTTGTGCCGTCGTTGATGCAATCAATTCTCGAATCATCCCGAACATTTGCAAGGGAATTTATAATTTTTTTTCCAGTGTTAACTAGATTCAAGGGATGACGAAACAAATGCGTGGATTATTCAGAGAATATCTCTGAAGCTAGTGGGTTTAGAAGAAAATGTCACAATACATTTTTTGTAGATAATTTCATAGCCTTCAAATTTTTCTTCTGACGTTTTTGTCTCAACTCAACAGTTCTCAAGATATTCACCAAATAATGTGAATGGAATTTTTTGATTTTTCTGTTTTTTGGAATAAATTTGTCCACATTATTGTGCGAATATCTTGATAAATAGTGGGTTTAGGAGAAAATGTCATAAGACATTTTTTGTAGAGAATTCAATTTCCTTCAAAAAATTCCTCTCACTTTTTTCTCTAAAGTTGATAGTTCTCGAGATATCCAAAAAATACTCTTAACAAAATTTCTGAATTTTGTGTTCACCAATTCTCTGAAGAATTCTATTAGCCCCAAGGGCTGTCTCAAGTACTCGATGTTTGATGGGGCATCATGAACTCAAGTGGCATTCCCGTCTCAATTCACCACAAACCCCACTTACGTAAGACTCAAGTGAGATTGGTGGAGACAGGTTCACTGTCCGGCAGGAATAGTGAATCGCAAAATCAATAGGATTCATCTGAATAACGCAGAGAAAACACTCCGAAACCAGTGGAGCAAAAAAAATTGAGCAGAATAAAGCAGAACAGAACGAAGAAAGAGCCTCTGAAACTAGTTCAGCTGAATTTATGTGATTACTCCACGAAAAAAAAATTAAATGAAACTTTAAAAAGAAGTTGGAACGCTCTTCCCACTTTTTTTCTCCCTCATTCATTCATTTCTGCTCTTGATGAATGAAAAAATAAATGAGTTAGCTGATGTTTCAGGGTGAATCACAGTAACGATCGAGGGAGCACATGAATTATGCGGATTACGAGGCGTTCAGCCAAACGATGATTCATCGGGCGCTTCAACTCTTTAGATTTTATGGATTTTTGTTAATTTTTAGTGATATTCTCATAATATTTGCATAGACTAAAGTCTTTATCCTTTAAATAACCATCAAAATGCTGGAAATTAATAAAAAATGACGGAAAATGTGGAAATTAAATTATTCCAAAACAAATCTTTACTTTACTTCAATAATATCTCAGGAACTCCTAGGTTTAGAGCGAAATGCCAAAAGAACTTTCTGTAGAAAATTCTATTTTCAACAAAAAATTTCTTATGACATTTTGCCCTAAACCTCTCCCATTTATAGATATTGGCAATGAAAAGAACAAAAAACTCAAGTTTTCTCCGAAAAATTTAATAACGACAGAATAAAAATAGTTTTTTTGCGAATATCTCCAAAATTTGTTTTGAATTATTGAAATTGTCAAGAGATACTGTTTCCTAGGGAATTAAATTCTCTGTAAAAAAATGTCCCCAGACATTCGCCCCAAATCCCCTGGACCCCGAAATGATTGCGAAGAAAGCAAAACTGAACAAAAGCCATTACAATTTTAGAGTAAACTCTTGAGACCTCATCAATGCTTCTATTCACCCGCATTGTCCCCCAACGACACTATCGATTACCGATACCCTCACCTCTCCTTTCATCGCGGATAATGCCTGAATAAAATGACCGTAAAGCCATCGCAGAGTCCCCCGGGATCACGCAAAAATCATCCAAAAAAGAGAAAAAGAAATTCCCTTCACACTTCAGATACCTCCCTAATTATTACAAAACGAGTTTAATGTTTGTTAAGTCAGCAATGAATCACGAGTCGCAAAAAGTTAATTAGAGTGAGCTACTGTGCTGCACCTCGTGGTTGTCTAGCAATTAAAATCGTAACTGGAACAATTAAAACGAGAAAAAAGAGTTTTATTGATTTCTAAAATTGTGAAAGAGAAAATTGCAAATATCTCGTGAACCAGTAGATTTACATGAAAGCGTCACAATAACTTTTTGTGGTGAATTAAATTCCCTACAAAAAGTTCCTTTGATGTTTTTCTCTCAGTCTTATAGTTTTAGAGATATTTGCAGAATAATCCTGGAAAAATTAGAAACCTCCACTTTCGTTCATTTCAATTCGGTAATTAAAAATGAAATTATCTCACTAATAAGTGATTTCAGGGGAAAATGTCATAAGGACTTATTTTTAGGAAATTTAATTCTCTACAAAAAGTTCCTGTATTATTTTCTTCTAAACCCACTAGTTAATGAGATATTCCCAAAATAGTCTGACTGAAATTTGAAAAAAACATGAGTTTTTCTTCAATTTCCATTCCTAAATTAACCTAACCAGTAATCCAAGAATAAAAAAATGCAAAAATATTTTTTCTAGACAATCAAAACCCCCTATATCACTTAGCGATGATTGCAAAAAACTATAAATCAAATAAAAAAAAACTTTTCCCCAATTACAATTTGTTCAGTCCAGTTAATTCCTTCAATTCCCCAAATTAAAGTCAACAAACTGTTCCAGCAACGTCGATAATGCATCCTGGAATGATTAAGGACCTGGAGTCTTGCCAACCCCCCCTTCCCATCAACGAGTTCAGCTGACATTCAATACCTCCAGCATTCTCTCCCGGAATTTATCAGGCAATTTGGGTCACTAAAATTCACCAGATGAATGCAAAATGTCTTAATGATCATGTACAAACTATCGTACACGCCCATAATGTCAAAGATGCAGCCATTCAGATACTGAATAAATAACCTTGCCCACAGGAAGTACAACGCCATATACGTGTTACATGCGGAGGACTATTACCTCGGGAAATAAAGACGATAGGAGGTGGGATCGATGTTGATGGGATTCTACGCACGATTTCTTCAGGGGAAATGACCTGATAAGTTTTTTTTTCAAGACGGCGGAACGTTTCGGGGGGATTTAATGACCTTTTATGAGGTGAAGATTGAATTCTCAGTGAATGAACAGTAAAAAACAATTTTTGAAATTATTTGGGGCTGATAAAATTGTTTGGGATTGAGAAATTATTTTTTTATTTATTTTTTTAACTTAGTGAGAGGGCCAGAACACTTGAAAAGGCTTGAGAACATTTTTCTGGTGAAAATGTTTTTTTAGGAGTCGTTCGACTGAATGAAACAATAAAAATCTTGATAATTGGAGACGAGCAATTTTTTTAGTTTCATTTCAAGACGTTAATTGATTGATGAGGGGCTTGTGTGCTTTTAATAAGCCAAAGCTTTAGCCAAAGAAAACATTCATATCTTGTCTGACATCTTTGCTACAAACTCTGGTCATCAACTCTGGTTTTCAGTTGAAATTGGAATTGTTAATTTACACAATAATAGGAGTGCATTGACGATTTTTTCTTAACTCGCAAAAATCTTCAATTTGCTACCGATTGGCGATAAAATTTTTTGGAAATAATGAAGTAAGGGGGATAACGCCTTTTTTTTCAGGGGAGATTTTTCAAAAATTTATTTTAAAAAAAGTCCTAACTAGCAAATGTTTTTTATTAGCTCGCAATTTTTTTCAAAAGTACTTCAATGAGGAAAAAAATAAAAATTTGGAATACCTATACATGAGGGACTAATTGATCGGATCTCATAGTTTCCGAGATAATCGCGAAAAACGAAAATGCCAAAAAAAATTAATTTAATTCATCT